TTATTCGCGATGACGATAACTGTTCTTGATGGTCACAAGGCCAAGAGCTGTAGAACTGGGTACTACATCAGTAACGAGTTAATAGCTACCTATATTTATATACTTATGTAAATTTAAGTTATGTCACTTTATGGTAATAGCTTTTTATCTTAAACATGATATCATGCTTCTTGATCTTGATAGGGATAGGCAAAGGTACATTTTATTAACTCTAAAGATCAAGCGACGTCGACATCGTCAGAGTTGCGGGGAGCCAGTGGATGCAAGTGGCGAATTGTCGTTCGACGTGGAGTACTAAGGGGGAGGCCTTTGTCCAGCAGTGGACGTCTTTCGGCTGTTGATGATGATGATGATGATGAAAGGTCAATCGACCAAAAAGAAGAAAGATATTCTATTCCAATTATGTACCGAATAAAACGGGATGAACAGAATTCGAGGAGTGAATAGACAAGAAGTGGAGTGATAGATACTATGAAGTCGTCACCCCTCGAATTCTATTCACCCCGTTTTACAGTATTTGGATATCAATAACTTATTTTTGTTCTCGAACGAAGTTTTACTTAGTAACTATTTCGTTATTTATGACTGTACCGATAAAAGTCTTAATCTAGATCTTTAGAACTAGTAGATATTAGTTATTAAGTAGATATTATAAACAATTTCTTCTTAAAACTCAATATAGTTTTATTCATGAATATTCATAGTTAATCCTATTGTTAGTTCTTCGATATAATCTTATTCTTTTATGAGAAAGATCAGATCTTTTGATCTCTTTGATCTGTGTTGTTCTGTTTATAATCTTTCGGTTTCATTCACCCATTATTCACTTAATAGCTTATTAAAACTGGTCATGCTGGGAATGTTCGAAGATATTTTTGCAATGTAACTTTTCCATTCGCGCCTTTTGTTTCATTGCCGTTTTATAGCGTGCAAACTTGCTTTCTGAGAAGATGTATTTAGGTACCTACTTATATTTATCTGTAATTTTTTGAACTAATATCTACGTGTGCGTTTAAACACAAAATTACTCACACACTGACTGAAGGAAATCGTATTTTCTGTTTATCTAATATCTTCTTCTTTCTTGTACATTTTCTTTGCTCCTATCATTTCTTATCACACTTACAATTCTATCTATCCCTCTCACACTTTTTAAAACACCTAAATTAGAAAAAGACAACTAAACACAACATCCATTTATTCAATCTAATAACAGTCCAGCACAAGTCAATTATTGTGCATCACATCAGTTGACCAGCTTAATTGGAACTTCCCGCTGTACGCTGTCCTATTGATCCCCGAGGTCAAACGAGGTGATGGTCACCTGAAATTGTACAAAAAGTAAACCGAAATTCACTGAAAGCATAGATAAATTATTCCGTTACCAGGTGTTAATGTTCTAGGAATGAATTAGTTTAAATAATTAATTGTATTTGTTAATATGTATGTAGAGTACGATGACTCAGGAATGGTTTAATGGCTCCAATATCAGTAACCTACTTTAAATCGTTAAACTTATTCGAAAATGTATTTGAAATGAAAATTACTCGATACTAAAACCATAGAATACAAAAAGAAACTTCAAAAAGACTCGACAATCCGTTGCCACTTCACTTTAATCATCACCAACATCATATCAGCTATAGTCCACTACTTGACACAGTCCCTCAATGACTTTCAAATCGAGACAGTCGGAAGCAAAAAAGTCACTTCACTTTCATATTCAACTAACCTAATATCGACAAACTCGACTATGGAATCCTACACAACATCAATAAACACTTTAACAAGTTCACAAAGAAGAAAACTCCAGGATATCCCCGTACTCTAAACATGAACCGCTGTATCGCCCACACCATTACCTACGCGGTTATTTCTGTGACCGGCTCACGCTAGGAGCGTTTATTTTCAACGCTTAAGCCTAGTTTACCTTATGATGGACGACCGTAGACTGGCCACTGTATATCTGTCATTCATATTATACTGTGTAGTGTCTGGTCTGTAGGAATATCAGTTGAATGCAACAAAAAGAATTTTGTCTATGTATTTTAACTCGTATTGCAATGTTCGTCTTTGTTTTTCTTGTCAACAGTCATTTCTTAAATATCTAATTGGTGCAGGAACTCTGTATATATATAAGAAAAATGAGAAGTCGTCCTATTTCATTGTTTGCCAGCAAACAATGGGTCTTTGAAAGATTGACTACCTCTACTTTCCGTCTTTGAGGATCTTTTTAAGAATAATAAAATATGAATATTTTTTTGAAAACCTCCTTAACTTGTATTTTTCATTATTAGAAAATACAATAAAGTCTTACTTACCCTTTAATAATTACCAATCTATCATCGTCATCCATTAAAAGCAACACAGTCGAAGGTGGGGTCATTATTTTGCATTCCCCAGCCCAGCCAGTCAGCCTGTGACCACCACGTCACAATGTTCACCTCCATACAATAAATCAAGCCGAATCAAAATGAACGCGACTCCCGCTTTGTAAATCATTCGGGATGGTAATTAGAAATTTGCTGAAATTAATTTACGTGACGTCACACGTCGCGTTCAGGGGAATCTTGATAAGTGGGCTTTGATACTGTCAGTTCCTAGATTATGAAACTCGATCTAGTTTATAGTTTGAGAGGAATTTAAAAGAGGTTCGCGAGTTGTTACAGATTATAGGGAACTTTTTGGTCGCTTGCTTTTCTGTATTTGAGTTTTGAAATGAATCTGTTGGTTGATTTTTAATCATTTCTAGTGATAGACCAGTGCTGAACTATAAGCCTCCTTAACATAAGAAACAATGAACTCGAACCATTCAACAATAGCAATAAACGTAGAATAAACTGTATGTACTATTTATACAACAAAGAGGCGAGTAAAGTTGCGTCAAATGTTTTAATAAGTGATTTTTAATGAAATCTTATTAACACGTTAAACGCCATGGGGGTCACCGGTGACCGGCGTTAGCGGAGGATTTACCTTCAACAGTTTTTTATTGGCAGTTAAAGTCTTAAAAGGTAAAAATTATTGATGTCCATTCTTGTCTTAAATAATACAATCTAAGTCGCTATTTATCTTGTCGATGCAACTATCTAGAAATTATCTGTGACTGCATCTAGAAATCATCTTAGACGTACCGATTAGAGAAATCAGTATTCCAAAAAAATGTAATCAAATTGCAACAGTGCTTGCGAAATCATCGTTTCAGGTCATTGCATCTGCATAAAAACGGTCCGAATCATCTCAGAGATTACAATCAAAACTCCAAAAAACGAAATTCGATATGATCGAACTCACCACCTGCTGTTTTCTTTGAAAATTTTATTCTAGATGTGTATTTAGTGTTAGTGCTTCTGTATTTCTATGAAATGGTCGAAAAGCCGCTTTGGACTTTAAGCTGAATTTTTTAGAATACTCTTTGACTTTGTGTTTTTTTTATTATTTGTTTTTATACCAGATTAATCTCTTGTCAATAACAGTTGGATACAGTTTGTAAAATCTTACAAAGTTGTTGTATTTTTAAATAAAAGTTTTAGCTTAGCTTAGGCACATCAGCGTGCACACTAACTTCAAACGAACTGTTTCTTTGACATTAATAGTTAGTTTCGCCAGTTATTCACTGGCCAACAGGTTTTTTAGATATTGTAACTTCAGATTAAACTTATGAATCATGTAACCTCTTGTATGTCGGTATTTAAGACACATTAGAAAATGTATTGTGTCTCGCGCAGATTCACGCTCCGTATACCGGAGGGTCAACGCCAACAAATCCACTAAAACATAACATTCTGAAATACAACAACATAACATCACGCCTTTTATCCCCGAAGAGGTAAGTAGAGGTGCACATTATGCCACTGTACAATGTAACACCCACTTTTCACTATTTATGTTATGAGTCCCACGTAATAGGGGGTCAGCCTATTGCCATATACCGGGCACAATTCCAGACTCAGTGCTACTACTGAGAATTTATAAAATACACAGTAGTACTTTGCCCGACCCGGGAATCGATTCCGAGACCCCTTGCCGAGTCGCACTTGTTTGCGACCACTCGGCCAACGAGGCAGTCGTTCGACATTCTGAAATATAAACTGTATTTAGTCTGTATTGTGTGACTCGACGCAACTAAAACTAAATTATGTCGTTATCTAAAACGGATTTTAGTCCGTCCGTCATTAAATTAGTGGTCTAAATTCAATCGGACCGTACCGGGGAACATTGACAGGTGACCAGCCGTCTGCGAGCCTGTCGAGAAAGGACAATTTGAATCATTCATCTAATTATGACGTAGTTTATTCAATTATAAGCCTTGCGGTGATGTGGCAGAGTATATTTATCACAACCCCTAAGTAATGAGTAATGGATTAGGTTTAAGAAAATTCTTGAAAATACGTCATCGTATTCCTTGTCACATATATGAGTCGATAATAATTATACAAAATTAGCGGACCCAACAGACGTTGTCCTGCATATCCACTTGAATGTATAAACAAAATTTCATCAAAATCGGTCCAGTCGTCCGAGAGAAGTTCAGTGACATACACACTCACAGAAGAATTATATATATAAAGATGCTCATATTATGACATCGTAAAACTATTATAAATAAAATACTTTTATGTGAAAAACTTTAATATAAAATAACTACATTTATAGAAGAGTATATTAATTCAATTATCTACAAAAACAGCATCAAAGCGATTGAGATGCGATTCACGTAGCTCTGTCGCACTCAGAATTAGAAACAGTTTAATTCTAGTCGAGTATTGTTGACGCATCGTGAGATTTCTATTTTTCGAGTAAAATCGAAAAGGCTTTACTACTTCTCTTAAATATATTATGGTAGTATTTGTATGTGGTGACCAAGTAATTACTTACTAATCATCAGACAATTCATCAACAGCCTGTAAATATCCACTGCTTTAATCACCACGCTTGCTCAATGCGGGTTGGCAATTACAAACTTATAATTAGAAATTATAAGCCCAGGCTTCCTCACGATGTTTTCCTTCACCGTTTGTCAGTGGTGTCTAGGTAATCTTAGAAAGTGTATATAACTCGGAAAACGTCACATTGGTACTTGCCGTTGGTAGGTTTCGAACCCGCACCCTCATGCATAAGAAGCGGGCGTCATAAACCTCCGGACCACCATGACAATTCACTCATACTTATTACGTGTAGGTTAAAATTATTATCGTTTGGGAACGGATGACACCTTACTTTTGAGAGGAATGAATAAGGAGCGTTAGATTCTTACTTTTACTAAACCCATCCCGCTAGTCACAATAAGGCTAAGAGTTCACGGTGCGAATTTCTCCCGCGCCCTCCTCGGTTGCGTTTGTTTGCGGCTCCGGCTGCACCGACGGGCGCCGCCGCGGTCCTGCAGCCGCAGGCGGGTTGCAACCGCGAGCTCTGCCATCGGTTGGCGGGCGATCGCAATGGAAGGGCCGGTCTAGAACTCGATTGATTGTTTAACCCATCTTGCGATAAATCAACCGCCAAGTTCGCGTAAAGAGGCGCCAGGTCCTCTAAATAGATCAGCTCTGACTGTGCAACACCTGGTCTGTTACAGCACATCCCTAAGGAACCTTAGAAATCGAATCCTTTAAAATTAACAAAGTATAACATCTTTATAAGTAAACCAGTTTAAAAGAATTACGGAAATGGTCAGCTTGCAAACTCGTTTGTTGAGTTGTGATATGAATCTGAGAAGGAAAAGAATAATTAGACATTATCTGAGTAAACATTGTTTTATTGAGAGATAAGGAATAATTTGTTGAAGGACTTTTTGTTTCTTTTTCATTATTATGTCATTTTTTACACGGTGATGTTCCGAGAATAACCATTTTATTAGAATTTTCCAGATATTTACCTATTCAATTCATGTCAATATATAATATTCAAATGTTCAAAATCTTTCTGTAATACTAGTGTTGATTCTAGGAATATTTTGATATAAATAGTCTTTGATACCCTTAAAAGTAAACTTTACAATAATTGTGAATTACTTTCATACTGCTTTAGTAGTTCGGTGTTCGGGGCCTAATACTTAATTAGTTTGTAAATAATAATCAAATCTTTCCTCCTTATGTATTTGCATAGATAACGTTTTTGTTAAATCACAAAAAACTATTTTATTCAATTTACACAGTAAAATCATCGACTGATATAGATAGCTGTTTCCTTCATAAATGTAGCAACACTTGTAATTTAAATCTGCTTTTTCACGTGTTCCTCATAACCTGTCAATAAATAAATAAATATTGATCGATATTGTGTCTATTGTCAAGGATACGGCAACAGACTCCCAACTCAAATACTGAAATTACAGTATTGTAAGAAAATAACCACACAATCACTTTCGTAGAAAAGGCAACACATGGAAAAATCATCTTTATGTTATATTATTATAAGATACAAAAGCCAATGTTGAGACTGTTTAATTAATAAATGTATTCTTTTCTTTCCAGGTAAGTCTTCCAATACATCAGACGTGGTTCTGACTTCTAAGAAATGGTCGTACTCAAGGTAAAAGTATTATAATTAAACTTCCAATGGTTTCAATATCAAAATGGAAGACGGTAAAAATAACATTTATTTATTATTATTGTTAACCTCGTTGGTTATAATATTCTATAGTATTTTTTTTTATATTTATTGTCTTTTTTATTTGAAATTATAATGATAGAAACGACTTAAGAATTAATTACAATTATTATTTTTATCTTGCTCTATAATTCCCTTAAGATCATAGTCTTTTTTTTTGTTATTATTTTTTATTAGACATCAGCTTCCTTCCCGGTGTTATCAATGTCTGTAATACTCCCCGAAAAGTAATGTCAAAGCCCATTTGAAACAAACAAACATCATTTTGGGATCTATCCTAAATAGTTTTTACCTGTCCGTTGTTCGACACGGATTCCCTACTCAGACGCAGGTTATTGATCCTCTACATATGACTTAATATTCAATGCGCGAACGCAGACGTTGCGCGTCCGTCGCTTGCCCAGGCGCAGCTCCTCACCAAGTGAGAGTTTTGATTTTAGAACAATGGTAGAAAAAAATCTTGAATAGGATGCGTGCTTTGCATTGCTAATCATTTTGTTTTAATGTTTGAATATTTTAAGGAACAAAAAATGTAAAACAAAATAAAATTTTAAACGGAAAAAAGTGTAGGAGATTTGTTACTTTATTTAAATAAAAAAAATGGTTGACGTTGATTCCGTTCCGCCACTATAGGAATTAGAATTTCAAATTGATAATAGAATAAGAATCGATAAGATATCCCTTCCCGTCTTGTCAAAGCCCTTCAGGTGAAGTACCTTGTTCGTCAGTGGATGTGAAGTCTAAAAACTTGGCAAGAATACATTAAGAACTTTCACTGACAGTACACTCAAGTCTTCTGCATACAAGAACTTCACTTCACCACGATCACTTAAACATCAAACTATCCCATTATGGAACTTTCTATTCTGTGTGACAAAGTCGATAGTCAATATTTCCTCATATATTTTAACTGCAGGATTTTGGATACAGTGACTGGAAGAGGCCTTTGACATAAAGTCCATACTTAGTTCGTCCACGTTGCCTCATTTAACGAATGCATACGTTAAAAAGGATAGACGGATTTCACATTGCCGGTGCGTGTACAGTTTTCATTGTATCTAAGCAAGATGCAAGCATTTGTCATTTGTAGTGTGTTGTTTGTGACGAATGCATCATCATCATCATCATCAACAGCCTATAAATACCCACTACTGAGCAAAGCCTCTTCGCACACGGAGAACGTTTGAGCATTAATCACCACGCTTGCTCAATGCGGTTTGGCGATTACAAACTTATAATTGCAAATTATAAGCACAGGTTTCCTCACGATGTTTACCTTCACCGTCTGTCAGTGATGTCTAGATAATCTTACAAACATATAACTCGGAAAAAGTTATATTGGTACTTGCCGTTGGTAGGTTTCGAACCCGCACCCTCATGCATGAGAAGCGGGCGTTTTAAACCTCCGGGCCACCACGACGAATGCATACATTCGTCAAATGACGCAACGAGGGCAGTAGCCCTTAATGTGTAAAAATTCTATCTCCAGGAAGCAAAACTTCGTACGTTATTGACACTGATCATAAACGATTAGTGTCATAATGCAAATTTCAACGTTACCAATTTTCATTGATATTATTTAGGATCAATCGTAATGTCAAAACTCTTCGAACTCACCATCCTCAAATCAATCGCGGGTTACTCACATGCGCTACTGTTACCGCTGCTCTTGAGGAAGAACCGCTATGTGGTTCGAAATTAGTAGAGCTTTTCTCAGTATATTCACGTGAGTAAACCGCGATTTTTAGTTAATTTAGTATGTCTCACGATAGTTATTATAAAAACAACCACCCTCAACGTTTATTTTGAAATTAATGCTATTTTCTCTTAAACCTATTTTCTAACTGTATTTCAAATAATGAAATACTCCATCTAATACTAAATGGTACGTGTAAGTTATATGACAAATGGATGAAGCGTCGACATCCCTGTTTCGGTACTTACTAAACCCATTATAGAGCGGCTACGGCAAACCTATTTTGCATTTGATCACGTTGATTGAGTTAAAGTGTACCGATTAAGCCGTCTTCCTACATTTCAGACATTTTAGACACTTGTGAATGTGAATTAGAATCCAATTCTAGTTATGTGAAGTCATTATGTAGTTCTATGGTGTAGAAACTTCGATAGTAATGATTAGGGTGATGTATTTTGTTGGAGAACTGTTAGATGTTTAGCTCGTGGATGTGATTGAAATCGATTCGAAGGTTTAAAGGATTTAATTTGTCCCGTGTGCGGTGTAATAAACACTCGGATTGGTTGCAGGAATAAAAGTGTAACTTTCGTGGGACATACTAAAGGAATTATCATGTTTTCGGCTTACTCACGTAGGTACTAACTAGACGAGGAACTAGACTTGACTAGACAGGCTCGAGTAGCCAGTAGCAGCGCGACAGTCGCCGCGTCGCGGGTCGCGAAATGCTGCTCATGAATATGAGCCTCTAGCATGGCTTGAAACTAGTCGAGTTCATCGTCAAGTTAGTTCGTGAGTAAGTCGAAAACATAATAATTTAAGAATAAAAGTGTTGCTATATGTATTGTATTAATCTAAATGATGTCTTGTCATTTTTCTCACATCCCTTTATAAATAGGTATAATTCGTTTATTAAATACTTAAATAGTCAGTAAAAGAATAAGGAACTACCTGATTCCGTGTCTAAAAATCAAATGTCCTCGTAACCCTGGAAGTTGCACCACTTTTTTAACTCGACACTACCCTTATCTAAAACTGACAATCTTTATGTGTCAAGCTTACGATAGCGATTATCATAGACTATAAAACTTTTTGTCAACAAAATGGTTGCCGTGTCTGGGACAGTTTAAAAAATTAACTGTTTTTTTTAACTTCCGAACATTATACGAAGAATAAGGAATGAGTAAGTTAGAGGTCAATGAACTTGAAGTTGTTTCCTTTACTTTTTTATTGTTTGACGTTTTAAATAAGCCGTCCACGTGCTTCGACTATCGGGGAGGAAGTAATCGTTACTCGTGCCATTACCTTTATAGATAAGATGGTCATACGCGGAATCAATACCTTATTTATAGTCATACATACAATGACTGCCCTCATTGGCCGAGTTGTCGCAAGTGCAACTAACGGGCAAGGGGTCTCGGGTTCGATTCCCGGGTCGGCCAAAGTATTACTTGTGGAAAGTATTACTACTGGAATTGTGCCATGCCATGGCAATAGGCTCACCCCCTATTACATTGGACTCATAACATAAATAGTGAAAAGTAGGTGTCCCTTCGGGGATAAAAGGCGTGATGTTATGTTATGTTATAGTCATAGTCATATTTAATTGTTATTTTTTCTACCAATATAGCTATTATTATGTGCGCATTCATTTAAACCTTTATAAACGAGACAAGAACCTTGCGACAATCATTAATCTAAAAATGTTTATCTTGAATGTGTTGCATATAAAATTGTAACCAATAGAGATGACACCACAAAGATCTACTAACACAATTAAGATATCGTAACTTTTGGCTCTCGATACTTTCAGCCTACAGCAAGATGCCTGACTGTATGATAGGTCATAAATAATCAGCCAACTGGCACACAAACGCCGCTTGATTTATATCGACTGGTTGTCAATCCGACACCTCTAATAACGATAGACCAATTAATGTAATCGCAGTTAATGATATCGGTAGCAGATGGATGATTTGTATTGCCATTTAGTGGTATATTATTGACTTCGGTACTGTATTAGATGTAACGTACATAAACATGGCATACTAAATGTACGCTATTTCGGCTAAAAGTACATAAACACATTTTTATGTACTTTCGGTACGCTATTTCAGTTGAGGCTTGTCCTATATGTATAGGACAAGCCTGAGACAAATTAACTTATGTCACTGAGTAAAGGTTTTCTTTTATCATTTTATAAGCCACCCGTCAGTATTATGTTAAGCTGTTGTCAGATTTTTTAAGGAATAAGCCGGTAAACGAGCAGACTTCACCTGATAGTAAGCAATCGGTGTCGCCCATGGACACCTGGAACATCAGAGGCGTTACAAGTGCGTTACCGGCCTTTTGAGAATTTGGAATTAAAGAATTGTGGAGGATTTCAGGATTGGGGAGACTGGGTGATTGAGCCTACGGTGACCTTACTGACACGACGAAACCCAATGCAAGCGTTGTTTTACGTCGGTTTTCTGTGAGGCCATGTTAAAAAAATCTCAGTAGTAGCACAGCGTCCGGAATTCTACGCGGTATATATCAATAGGCTCACCCCTTTTACATGGGACTCATAACATAAATAGTGAAAAGTGTGTGTTACATTGTACAGTGGCATTAAGTGCCGTAACGTGCACCTCTGCCTACCCCTTCGGGGATAAAAGGCTTGACTGACTTACAATCAAATGTACAGTCTCCTTGTTTATCCGTATCCTATAAAAACATTCCTAAAACCTCTTTACTACAACTTAAAGAGAAAAGATTAAACTGTCAAATACCAAGCGGTCACCGGTGACCGCGACCTATTGTTCTTTAATTGTGTCTATAAAACCGGTACTCGACGAGTTAAACAATTTTACATTTACAAAATTCATTTTACAAACCTCGAACTAGGAAGACGAAACTCCGTCATCTCGATTCCTAAATTCCTTGGCAAACTTATAACTGAAGTAGGATCATAATTAAGATTAAAGTCTTTGGTCGAGTTTGGCATTAGTCTATCCGTTTGTATCGCCCTAGAAAGTTTGCTCTGAGAAATTGCTGAGGCTTTCGGTAACTTAGACAGTTGGAGCTATTAGATATATTGATGTTGCTGATTACAAGTTGAGGAATTCGGTTTAATGGTTTTAGAGGGGTGAAGATTCTTCTCTCTATTCTACCTCTATAAACCTTTATCGAATTTGATCTTAGAAAGTAATTTGCGTTTTGTTGTAGTAATAATAAGTTTGATTTTGCTGTGCTGTGAACTTTCCTAGGTCATAAAGCATCGTTCATGTGTTATACAACACGTGGTTCTTAGACATCCAATGACGCAGCATAATTACAAAATACATATGGTTGTTCGGTTGTTCCGTTATGAAACGCGATGCTTTCTCGGTACACAATTTTATAAAAGCTTTCTTAGAACAATTCCTCGATACGATACAAAGTATTACTTACTTATAACAAGTATATCAAAATCAAAACGTCAAGTTAAATACGAACAGAATTCACGTTAATTCCCCTGTAACTTCGAGTTTCCTATTAAGAACTTTAACGTCTTTTATTGCAACTATTTACCTCGAAAACAACCATCCACTTAGCCTCAGCAAATTGACAATAATTAACACTGGCAACTAATAAAACGGATAGTTTAACCAACTGTCTTGTTACCCGAAGCAATTTCTCACTCGAAACTTTCCGTGCTCAACAACTTTCGTTCCCGTAACGTAAACGATACATACAAATGGCGCAGATTTCGGTCCCGCGGTAAGCCGCGACCCGCCACTGATTCACGCCCGCGACTCGTCAATCCTAACTCGTAGGGTTGTCACCGCTACGACGAAAATTAATCACGGGACTCGACAACGACGCCAAGTTATATTGCACGTCAATACGTAAGTTTCCCTCCCTTGTTGTGTTGCGATGCAAATGCTTGACGTGACGCGTTATAAATTATTGTTATGGCCAACGAACGCTTGATTAATTTTGCGTTTGACGCTGTTTGATGAAAATGCTGCGGTTGCGGTATCAGAACGTGATGACAGGCGTGTTTGAATATTGACGTTGTTTAATGATAATTTTATCTTATAATGGACATTGCATTTGGCTATCGTTGGTTTAATATCAATTGCTATTACATTTATCATATTCATCAAATATTACAACATAATTATCGAACAATTAATAACAAGTTTCTCTAAACCACAATTAAATACTCGTTAATTATAACGTAGAACACGTTCAAACAATTCAATTATTTCAAATGATAACGCTCTTGTTGTGAAATTGGTTATTATTTCTCTTCTCCATTTTTATATTATTCAAGTATGCATTGACAACCCTACACGGAGACGCGCGGTATCGACTCGTAGTCGCGCGAATACACGAATTAATTGCCTATTGATTGTGACGAGAGTCTTCACTGATACACTGCGATACATTGCGATGTTAATGGCACTCACGACATATTCGACACTGAAGTAATCTAGCCTTGTTTATGGAAACTTCGGTTTATTTTAGAATCTAGAATACTTCGATGAAGAGTAGAGGACTAATTAAGTTAATTCAGTAGCAAAGGTTATAATATCTATCTATGCAGGAAATGTTTTTGTTTTATGAATTACTCAACTGTTTGACAAGGTGACTCAAATAGTTTCAGGCCACGCCAGAGATTCATAGTCAAGATTTGAAGAGAATTGCATGACAACTTACGTAGATAATGGAAATTTACGATATCTAACATTATAGGTATCATGTTAAAAATGC